TGGTTCTGCCACCTGCATTGCAAGTGCAAGGTCCTGAGTTTGATCGCTGGTACCAAAAAAAAAAGCTCAGAATTAGTACTTAGATTCCACTTGCTGTATAATGAAATTGTTAATGTAAATCAATAGTAGCCCAGGGCTTATTCAATCTTAAGGTATTAAAGCACATCAGAATGGAAATGAAGCCAGGTATAACGATACACACCTGTAATCCAGGGGGACAGAGGCGGCACAGCCGGACTTCGGGGAGACGGGACGGACCGGCTGGACAGGTGGACCGCGCCTGCCTAGGGAGACGGACGTAGAGAGGTGGATACAGGGAGCAGGCCGCAGACACACAGACAGACAGACAGACAGACAGACGGGATGGGTGGGTCAGGACAGGACGGGAAGCTGCACAGAGATGCGTGTCAGGATGACAGGAGCACGGTGGGCAGCACGGAGGTGACGGACGGCACACGCAGGCGTGAGAGAGCCACGCGGACGGACGGACGGACGGCGGACAGACAGACGTCAGAGGACAGCCGGTGGGGAGGGTGCGGCTGCTCTTTCCCTCCCTCGCAGGCTCCTGTGGGGCGCCCAGGCCCCCGCATCCGACAGGGAGCCGCCCACCGACCGCTCTCGTCCTCGGCCTCCCCCGGCAGCAACACCGCTCTCTGTCCCAGATTCCTGCCAGCAAACGCCCCGGCCGCCCTGGCCCGAGTGGCCCCGGTTCTCCCTGGTGTGCAGCCTGGTGTTACTCCTGGTCGTGGCCCCGCTGCTCCTGGCGCTGTGGAAGGCACAGAGGTCAGGACCCTGCGGGCGGGTGGCCTTGAAACTCTCATGCACGAAGGCAGGTGGGCGGCCTCGAAACTCTCAGGGGTGGGCCTGGAAGTAGGCTGCGCTTCACGTAACAAAGACTCGGCCGACAACCGTTCCGGACCCGGGTCTGTGGGAAACTCTGTCTGTTTGTCTGGACTGTGCCTCTCCTAATTCCACGAGGCCACATAGCGAGACCCTGTCTTCAGATACAAACCGACAGGGCCGGGATTTAACTCAGGGGCACGGCCGCCTGCCTCACAAGTGCAAGGTCCTGAGTTGGGTCCCTGGTAGCAAAGACAGTAAAGAAAGGAAAGGAAGGAAAACCGTGTAGTTCCGTGCCCTTGGGGGAAGTCAAACAGCAGCACAGGATGCCTCTAAGCAGACGCACTCATGTAGACACCGAGTGTAGGAGAAAACACCCAGGCCGGTGGACGGAGGAGGCAGTGAGTGACACAGGAAAGCGAGTTTTGACCCCAGCGTTAGGTCGGAATCGGTGTCGGAGGGAACCTTCCCGCTCCGCAGAGGTGGAAAATCAACTACGCTCCTCGGCTGGTCTGCTGCAGAAATCATTCTGCGATTGAACCCCGCCCAGCCCTGTTGTGTTTATCGTTTGAGCCGGGGCCCCAGGAGGTTTCCACGTCGCCCAGGCTGGCGTTACACGGAGACTCTCCCGCCTCAGCCTCCCGAGGGCCGGGATGCCGGGTGCGTGCGTCCCCAAAGCCCGGTCCTCCCTTGTGCTCATCGCAGGGTGAAGAAGCTGCTCATGCCCAGCGTGCCGGACCCCAAGGGCTCCTTTCCCGGGCTGTTCGAACACCACCAGGGGGACTTCCAGGTGCGGCCACCCCCGGACCCGGTCCCCTCGCAGGCTGTGGGCTCGGCGGCCGCGCAGAAACAGCACGGCGCGCCAGGGAGTTTAGGTCGGGGGCGCAGCTCCGAGGGCACGGGGCTCAGGGTGCGGTGCACGGTCGGCTGCCCCAGGGGTCTCAGAAGGCTCAGGCCCGGCCTGCCTCCCCAGTCACCCAGGACCCACCCCAGGTGTCTTCTCTGGGGACGATCCCGGGATGTCTACCAGGGCGGTCACCTTGTGGACCTCCTGGAACCCTCTGGGGGCTCCCAGCGGAGCCCGTGTCCCTCGTCCTGACTCAGTTTCCCCTCCTGTAGGAGTGGATCGCCGACACCCAGGACGTGGCCCGGTGGAAGAAGCCACCGAGTGGGGACCAGGACACGGGTTCGGAGCAGACGCTGGAGGTCCAGCTGTCCGGGATGGACACAGTACTGCCCCCGGGGACCGGGCCCCTGTCCCCACACACGAGGGAGCAGGAAGCCCCCCCGGGGTCCCCGCAGCACCCTCCCCAGGACCCCCAGGGCAGTAACGTGATCTCCATCGGGAGCTTCACATTCGTGATGACCGACGGTGCCTACATGAAGCTGTGAACTCGGGATCCTCCTGACTCAGCCTCCTGAGTAGCGGGGATGGCAGGCGCGCACCCCCCCCGTCTCTCTTGTTTAATTGTATTTTGTGGCACTCGGGGTTGATCCCAGGGCCCTTCCCGTGAGGGGGACACTGTTGAGGTACCCCCTGAGCTCTCTGCTTTCATTTTGAGACCGGCTGTGCGTCTGAGTGGATCTGGTTGACCTCCAACTCGAGACCCTCCTGCCTCTGCCTCCCGTGGGGCTGGGTCACACATGGGCACCTCCTCTCTCCTGCCTTTTGTGTTTTTGTGTGCACAGCGGGTTAAGAACTTTTTAACCTGTTGGGTTCGCGAAACAGATTTCTCCACGGACGTGTGAAAGCCCAGAAGCCGCCGTGCTCACGGGGCTGCAGGGAGGGCAGGCACCTGTGTCCCGCACACCGGCTGTGCTGCCGGCTGCCCAGATTTCTAAACAAACCCGCCAACCCCGGTCTAAAACGT